TTTTCTTTTGGTCATCAAATATCACGACAAGACATTTTCTCATAAAATCCTTTCTCAACGGAACTATATATGTGCATAAATAATGCACCATGTCACTAACTTGATTTTTTTGAGAAGTTAAAGAGTGACACAAAGCTATAAATACGAAAAACCAAACCAACTGTCATGGGGTCTCAATCAATTTTTTTCCAGGATATTAGAACATATAGGTATATATATGAGAGTATATGCAGAGGCCATACATAGTGTTTTCCTTAAATGATGAATCAATAAGTTGGTGGTGTATTTACTATGCATATATATATCACTAAAAGTAATTAATAACTTTATAATATATTTAATCTTATTATTGGGGATAAGTGACAACCACCTTGATTGGAAACATTGCTACACACTTTCCTCCACTTCCACGTGGAAAGTGAAGGTTACTACACCCAAATTAAGTTTATTCCATTTTAAATTATTCGGATATTGCGTAGGTTCGTGATAAAATATATACAACTTTTTAAATACACTACAATTAATAGAAAATTATTTCCAATAGAACCTACCTCATATAATAGTAATTTCTTGACATAACTAGACTTACTATCTCTATTAAAATATTATTAATTTATAAAAATCTTATAAAATAAATACTTATGCAAATATATCATATACAAGAACCTTTTTTCATAAGTATTATTAGGAAGGCTATGAATTAAAATATGATGTTATCAAATAATGTGTGGTGTTATAGTAGAACTCCCGAATTAAGGTTGTAAGCCTTGTATATGAGATAAAGAATAACCGTAAATACTCGAGGTGTTACACTATAATCCTGATCAAAGCGAAAATGGCCTCCAACCTCCCACCCCACCCAACCACACAGAACTCCCCACTAATCTTCACAATAACACCAATGCATCCAGGCACTCCCAACTATATAGTTGGAACTAGCGTTGCAGGCAGTTAACCTTCCAAGTGATGATAGCAGGGTAAACGATAACCCTAATCTTCTATAACCCCACATATCTTGCTCAAATAATCAAGGAAGTAATCGATTAGGCGATGGCAGAATTGGGTACACAAATATGGATGCAGACATTGAGGCAAACCCAAATGTGGGGGAACATTAACACCACCACAATGGAGGAACTCAATGCGCTGATAAACAACACATTCCAAAGCTTACCCTTCTTTCATTCACTCTTATACCTGACCAGCTCTCAAAGTCCAACTATTATCTCCCGAATTCCACAAGAAGTTTTGAACACTCTATACTCCCAACCCCACAAGGAAAGAAAGAAGATAGGAACTCAGAAACAGAGGAGCGCTCATTCCTAGAGCTGATAAGAGAAAATAACTAGGAACTGGAGGACATTTTGACAAAGCTTTGAGAGAAAAATATAGTGACATGCATCTTGGAGAAACTTTTCCTCAAGGAATTCGAGGAACCTGTCAACACAACTGTACTAGCCTATTGCTCACAAACTATGAAAGTGTGTACACTGAATCTGAGAAATGAGAGAGACTCAGTCCTAGTAATTGTAGCACTGAACCCTATAGGATTACACATACATGTATCTCATATGGACAAAGCCAAAGGCTTACAGGAGCAAGCACCACAACAATCGTCAAAGATAAACTTCATCATATGAAACGTGAGGGAGGAGAATAACACGAACTTCAGGCGCCAGTGCAAAGCAATGGTAAAGCTCCACAAGCCTACAATGTTTGTACTACTGGAAACAAAGATGACAAAACACAAGAGCTTAACGGAAGGGTTGAAGTTCGACATAAAATCAAGTTCATTGACTTTAACCATACAAACTAGCAAACATAAACACATTCAAACTTACATCAATCCAAGGAATGCTTCAACTAGCTATTTTGATCCAAACAACATCATACATGATCAAGAGATACAACATGAAAATTCTATTAAGGCGATAATAGTTACTCCCTCTTCTTCACCTCAATCAGTTTCTTTGTTGCATTTTTCATCAGCTCAACCTCTTCACAATCTTTGAAAGCAAACACTCATTCCACCTCCTTTATAATACACTGTTCTTTTAATTGATAAATATAAATTGAGCCCTCATATTCATAATTTCTCTATCATTGTAATCAATGATTTCTTTCATATTTTGATATATATATATATATATGCAACTAATAGTTCATTCACACCCTTCATTTTCTTCACCAACTTTAGAAGAATCAACTTAGATTGTTCATTAACCATACAATCCCTCCAATGAAAATATTTACATTTTTCTTAGCCATGGTATGAGAAAGATCAAAATCTTCTACCCAAATTATTATCGGATCAAATTTTTTTCAAAGGAAGTAAAATATCATGTAAACATCACATTTCCTCATTCAACTTTGAATCATCATTTTCATAACAAAAATCATTCAAATTCAACTGTACCTATTCCATGGATCCTAATAAAAAAAAATCAGAAATTAGAGAGAAGAAATTAAAAGCCCCAATTAAAAAAAAAAGACAAACAAAACAATTAGAAATTAAAGAATAATTTGTTAAAGCTTATCTCTTTGAGCTACGATGGTGATTTGTGTTTGAGTGAACAACAATTATGGGTAGAAAAATTAGGTAAAGAGGTAAAAAGAATTGGGTGGGTACATTATTAAGTTGGGTATAATAATTAAATTAGGAGGAAATTAAAGTGGAATATATATATATATCTATGTAGCATGCCACATAGGTGCCACGTAAGAGGATAAAAGTAGGGAGATGAGACTTGACCATCCCAAGGGCAAATATGTACCTAAAGTTAGATGGTAAAAACAAATATATCAAAAAAGTACGACGAAAGGTAAATATGATCATTTTCTTTAAGTATAAGTGCAAATATGACACTTTTCTTTTAAAAAAAAATTAAAATAGAATATAGTGTTGAGTAAGATTATAGACTTGCACTTTCCTTTTCTTTTAAATCATATTTATGTATGTTATATTAAAATTTGACATAAGAGTATTATGTTAAATGTTTGGTTTTGAATTTAGGACTTATGTTATATTTTCAATTCCATTTGTTTTAGTAATATTGACTTGAGACTTCACATTGCAAGTCATTTATTTTTTAGTTAGACTTGATAGATTATCTTTTTATCAATTATTTTAATAATTTATGATATTTTATTTATAATATTGATCTTTTTGTCAAATATGTACTTCGTGATGTTAGAAATCTTGTACTTTTTTTTATGATTGATTCAATTGAAATATACTAATTTGAAAAATAAAAATTAATTATTTTTTATAAGCTTAGTTAAGAACATATATTTATTAATTAATATATTTTCAAAAGACAATATATATTTTAAATATTTAATTTAACATCTTTTAAAGAATTTTTAATTTATCTAAAACAATTGTGTATCCAAACAATACATATATAATGTAATTACAGTGTGACAAATAAACAAATCAAATATAATTACTAAGCTATTAGTAATTATTACCGGCTTTCCAAACAGAGCCTTAGTTATCACAAATCCCTTTTACTATTGCAGAGCAGAAAAGGTCACATCGGGAAAGTAAATCACCGGCGACCGCCGTCCGTCTAAGATGCCGGTATTCAAAACTCCATTTAACGGTTACTCTGTAAAGTTCAGTCCCTTCTACGAAAACAAACTAGCTGTGGCCACTGCGCAGAATTTCGGCATCCTTGGTAACGGGAGAGTTCACATTCTTCAACTCAATCCAAACGGACCCGTATCGGAACTTGCGGCTTTTGACACAGCTGATGGAGTTTACGATGTTTGCTGGTCGGAAGCTCACGATTCCCTTGTAATTGCTGCAAGTGGCGATGGTTCTGTGAAACTCTATGACCTTTCTTTGCCTCCCACCAATAACCCTATTCGTTCTTTTAAGGAACATACACGGGAAGTTCATTCTGTTGACTATAATACCGTGAGAAAAGATTCCTTCTTATCAGCGTCTTGGGATGATACTGTGAAGCTATGGACTGTTGATAGAAATGCTAGTGTAAGGACTTTTAAGGAGCATGCTTATTGTGTCTATTCCGCTGCTTGGAATCCAAGACATGCTGATATCTTTGCATCTGCTTCTGGGGATTGTACTACTCGCATCTGGGATGTCCGCGAACCAGGTTAGCTTAGATATCATACCTAAGAAAAATGATTCATTTCAGCTGGTTTGACTAAGTTTTTGATTAATTTGTTATTTGTTAAGAATCTTACTAGGAGATTAATGATTTATCATTTGAACTCATATAATTCATGATTTGTGAAGGTTCTACCATGATTCTGCCTGCGCATGAGTTTGAAATCCTCACATGTGATTGGAGTAAGTATGATGATTGTATCATTGCAACTGCGTCCGTTGATAAGTCAATCAAGGTTTGGGATGTTAGGAATTATAGAGTGCCAATAGCAGTGCTTAATGGGCATGGATATGCAGTGAGGAAAGTGAGGTTTTCACCACATAGAGCAAGTGCAATGGTTTCTTGTTCATATGACATGACGGTTTGCATGTGGGATTACATGGTGGAAGATGCACTTATTGGGAGGTATGATCATCATACAGAGTTTGCTGTAGGAGTTGATATGAGCGTTCTCGTTGAAGGTCTATTGGCTAGTACAGGATGGGATGAACTTGTTTATGTTTGGCAACATGGAATGGACCCTAGAGCTTCTTGACAAAGGGAAGTCAAACATTTTCTTCTTTTTACTTTTATCTACTTTATGCTAAGAGAGGAAGTTAATAAACTGTTTATGTTTGGCAACATGGAATGGAAACTGTTTATGATGTCTTCTGTTGAAGTTGTAAGATAATTTGAAGTTTCATTGTATTTAAGGTTCTGGTAAAACCTTGATAAATAACATTTACACCAAACAACTTTGACGTTTCAGAAAATATGCACTATATTCAATCCCTTTGGGTTCTGTATTGCTTTTTGGAATGTTAGTTCCCTGAATTTCTTTAATATTTTTCAGAATTTTATGAGGGGCAGTGGGTCAGGTAAGGATTGAAAAGAAGGCACATACTTCTGATTGGGGTTTAGCGTGTTTTGTTTATAAAAAATAACAAACGGAGATCCTATAAGAGAGCTTACAGAACAGGTACTACATTTCAAATATGTGCAATGCCATTTTCACTCAAATGCCTTCATCCATACTTCAGTGGAAGATGCATTCCTGATCAAGCACTTAGAGTCATCCTATAAGATAGCTTACAGAACATGCACTACATTTCAAATATGTGCAATGGCATTTTCACTCAAATGCCTTCATCCATACTTTAGTGGAAGATGCATTCCTGATCAAGCACTCAAGAGTAATCATTCTTGTAATTCATATGTTCATGTTAATTCTCTCAAATGTCTTACTTACTTGTGGGATAATTAATGTCGGTAATCATGTCATGGGGGCTGTATTTTATTTTACAGTGCATTTTGAGAGAAGATATACAACTAAATATGCTCAACTACACTCTGAAGGGTAAAAGGATAAATAATTCTGGATGTAAAAAGTGACTTTTGATTCAATTTTCAATTTTATAAGAAGTTGTATTGGGCCATCGTGTTATGGTATGGTGGATGATTCATGAGATCATTGGATGAGTGCTTGAAATAGATAGATTTTGAAACTTGAAGAAATGATACCCTTTATTTGAGCATCGACATGGTCGTGATTCCAGAAGAAGGATTATGCCAGAGTTCTGCTGAATGATTAACCTCCTAGTAAGTATGTAGAAGTGTCATGAAAATTATGCCATGCTTCTTTATTGATAGCAGTAAACCTTCTTCAATTTAGTTAACTGCAGTCCTCTTTAAATTTTTGTTTTAATCCGACTGTAGAGTTTGTTTCCTGGTCAGATTATCACCACTGAGTTAGTGGTTACGACGGCAAAGACAGTGGCTTTTGAACGCTTGCATGGTGAATTAGAGGACAAAGACAGGGATAAGAAGTTACAGGCTAGCAAGGGCAAGGATAATGAGGGTTTGTGACCTGGATCAAGTGAAATCATCAAGGACAAGGATGAAAAGATTCTGGTGCTACAACAAATTTGGCCTGAGGCCACATCAATTCTATACAACGCTTGAGAAGTGTTGCCAAAAGTATATGTGGGAACCCTTTCAAGGCGTGGCCTTTGGACAGAGCTTTTGGCCACAAAACATTGAACATTTATAAAGCGTGCTTTTTAGTAGTATAGGCTATACTCTATAAGTATTGCCAAATCGTAATATATTTGACAACACGTAATGATACAATATGGCTACACTTTTAAAGTGTGCTGTTTTTATAATTCTAAATGCAACACCTAACAAGCGTGCCCTTAAATTCTCATAAATTTCACTGAAATAATAATATTTCCTCCATGTATCTAAATTTCCCCCCAATTTCTAAAAGGCAAAACTCAAAAGTCAGTATGCCTATTTTCATACAATTTCTAAAACACAAAAATAAGAAGTCATTTGCTGATTTTTTGCCCAAATCAGAGAGATGATGGAAATGATTTTTTTGCCCAAAAGCATTTAAAGGATACCTCCGAAGAAATCACTACAATGTTCTCCCTTGCACTGTACCTCTCTGGAATCAGGTTGTTTTTTCACTTCTTTACAAGTTTAAAGGTAGAAATTTCTTCACTTACTTACAATTTTTGAACTCTGAAATCAGTTGTAGATATATGTACTCTGAACTATGAAGAGTCCAATGGTGGAATGGGTTATATCTATGATCAACTGGAAAACCCGAGCAAACAAAAACTCTTTTTGATTAGGGGTGATAATCGCAGTGACGATGGTTTGTTACCTATACTAGGTAACATAAATCTTTGACCTAGATATACGGGGTCCTGATGGAAGAGAGTACTTGTTGATGTCGGATGAGGAGTTGATGATGCAGTGTTAAATGAGTACTCTCAAGGCTTCAGGTCCTGTTGGACAGCATTGCAACAAGCGTGTATTCTCTGTGCATTTGAAGCATAACCCAACAAGGATTGTTCATGAGGTTTGGTTTGATGCTTTGGTAAATTTTTATGATGCTTTTACATTTTTAACTGAAATTTTATTTGTTTGGGTGTTTGATTCTTTTTAAATTCTTAAACCATGGGGGATAGTTCCCAACACATGAATTGTGTGTCTGCTTTATCTTCTTTGTGAGCGTTATCGTCTCTTAAAGGTATTCCATCATTTTAATATTTCTTCCAAAACCACTGCCTTATTATATAAGTTAAATTAATATCTTAAACTTTGTGGTCGTTGATAAGACAAATGAGTGTCATATAGAAAGTGAGTATGAGCTTTTGCAGTCGAGCAGTTGTGTACTACATGGTTATATCTATATTAACTTTTGAGTTTTGTGGTCTGATATTGACTTGTAAGCGTTTTGAGATTCTGCTACCATATTCAATTTTCATCCATGTGTCTCGATGGACAAAGTAAAGAATAAACAACAAAAGAACTCCAGACAGTATGGACTATTATTGAATAATGCAATAAAAACAAAGAAACCTTTGGTGTAAATTAATTAAGAGGGGAAGAAAATTTCATTGCCATTTGCTCAGTTATAGAAATTGATTAACTCTAAAAATAGTTAGTAGTGGACCCAACAATAGGTTGCAGGTTCAGTAGAACACTTTGGAGTCAGGCCCTATCCACTAATGTTTGCGTGAATAGTTCAATTGAGCACAGTTAAAGAGAATGTTGTGTTGGGTGTCAGTTACCATGATTTATATTTTTCAAAAGGTGCCAATTTCGAATTGGTTGGCTTTAAAAATTCAGAATTCGATTTTGTCTTTGACATCTCAACATGCGTAGCCATAGACAACTACTATTCATTCTTGACAACCAAAGAGAGGTATCAAGCATTAACCCTCTACATTGCATATGTTAATAGTTGCTAAAATTGCTTCCAAGACTTAAAAACTAAAAATGATAATAATAGTAAGGCTTATATTAAAAGAGTATTCTCTGGATACCCTATGCTCTGTGCAAGACCTTATGTTGCAGAATGCTCGTTAAATCATCTTTATTGAGCGTACTATATCCATGATGAAATCTGTTATCTTATTATCTAACATTGGAGAATTCAATAGTTGGCTTGTTGACTTGCGTTAACACGTGGTTTTGGAAGTAGGATGACTATCACAGTATTACCTAAGTGAATGCAATAAAAGAGGTTCTTTTACTCAAGACTGGAGATTGATAGTTCTGTCTCTTGGATACCGTGAATGTCATTTCTGAAGATACTTGATATGTTATGTACTAAAATTTAGAGTATGGTTTGTTTAGTATATCTGAAATAGTATCAGGGAACATTAATTTATTTCCTTTTGTGCTTTCTTCCTAGATTTATGGGTGACTCATCTTATTATTTTGGTGTTTTAGGTAACAGTGTTTTGTATAAACAGTTGCCTTTGATTTTTTTCATAATGCATCATAGATTGCTAATGTTACTTTTATTCTTTCATTTTCATCAACACCTTTGCTGTCTTTTTTCTTTAATATGTTCTATTATAACTCGATGCAAGTTTGATCTGTGTATGAATGTTTTCTTGTAGTTGTTTCCCTGCTACAGTTCAAGCTTCCCAAGTTTCATTTGCTTCATTTCCTGACAGCTATGCCTGAGCTTGTCTTATTTTTATTCTTATATTTTTTGTTTATGTTTGCAATTGCGTGGCTAACTTCTCAAGTTGTCTTTCTTTCACAATGGTGTGTGATAGCCTATAAGGCCATCAACTCTCTCTTTGAGTTATGGTCAGCAACCATTTTGCCCACGTGGCAGAGGTTCTCCCCCACGATGGGGACCTCAGGTTGGTCATCCTGGGTACTTTCCAGGTTATGATTACAATCATAGAGGTCAATGACTTCTCACAGCGCACAATATCTACCTCCTGCCTAAGGCAATTATCCTCCACACCAAGCACCAAGAGGCAAATTTTGTCCGGGTTGGGATGTGTCCGAAAAATGATTTTTGAAAGGAGTTAGATATACATTTAGGGCTCACCCTGTCAACTAAAAAATCACAGCTTCAAAATCCTTAACCCATCAAAAACAAATGTTTGTTATAGTAGAATTTGAGAACTATGTGTTAATTTGTCCTAGAAATTTACATAAACTATCCCTAGAGACGAGATATGTACTCAACTATTAGAAGCAAATGAAATTTTTGAGAGTACTAGAGCTAGTTAGTTAAACTTTAGTTCATAAGGAATCGATTTGCATTCTCCAGAATCTCCCCTCTGAAGTCAAAAACTCAATATCCTTAAACAAAAGATCATCATATGATTAGTAAACAAAATTAAAACCAACATATCCTAGTGAATACTGCAGATGCGCTCCAAAATTAGAAGATCCAATAGAAAACATTGGTACTAAACTATATTGCTAAAATTTATGAACATGTTAATTTACTAAATTTTTTTTTACCAAGACTGTAAGCAGCTGGTGCAAACCCCTGTCTTGATCACTAGACCAAAAGAGGTGTTTATGAATGTTTTAGTTTTGTGTTGTTAGGTAATGAGTTGTGTATCAATTTGTTATTTTTGCTAGATGAGATGTACAGAAGATTGTAAGCATATGAACTACAAAATAAGATCGAGAACATCATTCAGGTGGAAAACTGAACTAGCAAATGTGATTGCAGCAAGTACTAGGAACCATTATGGAGTAAGGAGTATGATTGTTGAAGCCATGAACAAGATTGAAAGGTTGTGACACTAGAAGAGGGAAAAAGTGTTGAAAACAATCTCCGTGTGGTTGAAGGAATGCAATTTGACCGTGGTTATACCTCTCCTTACTTTGTTTCTGATAGTGAGAAATTGGTTGTTGAGTATGAGAACTGTAAGGTTGTCTTCTTTCTAGTTTTAGTTTGCAAAGCTTAAGATGTTCTTATGTCTCTTTGAATGCATAGTGTACCTATTGCTGATGTTAGGTAGTTTGAAATGCAGTTACTGCTAGTTGATGAAAAGACAACAAATTCAAGAGATCGTGTCAATATCCTGGAAGATGCTATCAGAAATGGTTATCGAATTTTAAGCCGAAGAATTGAGCAACAAGCTCTGGATACACTTGTTGTCCATAAGCTTAGAGGTGCCCTAAAGGTTGCTGAAAACTTAAAGCTCATGGTTTTGGTGAGCGAAAAAGCTAGTATCTTGATGACGAAGCAACCCTTTCTAGAGGTATCTCTTACTCCTTCAAAAGTGTTTTTATATTTCATATTCACAAGAAAGTTAAATGCTGAAATTTTCAATCTGAAAGAGGCTGCAAGAGTGTTGTTGGCTCTTCATTTGACAACTATTAAGATAACAACAGTACATTTTATCTGAACGCATTGTAATTGCCTCTTTGATTAGTAACGAATTAGCAACTATTGACTAAAAACTAAAAAAATAAAGTTGTCTATAGATTATTAGTAGAGTACTAGAGTAAGGTAATCTCATAGCACTAACCAGTCCTAGTTCTTCTTAAATTGTTTTTCGTTTTTCTACACTGTTACAGAGCTTCTCTTTATATCCCAGAAATAATCGAGGTATCAAGTACTGATATTGAAGACACTTACACTTACACTAACAAGAGCTATTTAATTAGCTGCTATCCTCAATAGATAATTAGACACAAATAATAAGAACTGTAACATAATAGCATAGCCTTAAGATACCAGTTAGAGACTTGTTCCACCAAATATGGTATGCTTTTCATGGAAGAGAACTTTTTGGCTGAGTGGAAATTAAGAACATATCATCTACGTACCTACTTGTAAATCTTTTAAGATCATCAAATCTCTGGCATTTTGCTGCATGCGAATGTGTATTTACTTTATTATCTTGAAGTTTGGTTGGGTATTTATTCGCTGGTTTCGAAGTTGTAAGACAACATATTTCTCTGTTGTTATCATAAAGAATCTGAACTGTTATATCTTTTTCTCTTATAACTGAGAAATCCCCGAGGGCCGTTGGTGCGCAGTTCGAAACCTTATGGATAATGGAGTCACTCTTTTACCCTGTTATATCTTAGAATGAATCTAAACATGTGCACAATTGATTCGGCAACTAGTGCTAATTCGCAATCGTAAATTGGCACAGAACCTTGAATTAGTTCAGACAGGATTTTTAGATTCAAGCACCTTAATATCAATATTCTGCATTTCTCATCAGTTTTATGTTCTTTTCTCTATGATGTAAAATTAAACAAGTACTCTAAAACTGTTTTAAGATGGAAACAAAACATCACTTTTATATGGAAATCATAGAATGAGAAAATCACCATTAAATATGTTGGAGCTATTTTGAAATGCTTTTCTATTAATTTCTGAAAAGCGAGAAGAAAATGGTGAATGTTTTGAAAGGATGATTTAGGTGTTAGTCATTCTCTATATAGTTGTAATATTTTTTTTTGTGGCATAATACATGTGAATAAATACCTTAACTTGGCCTCAACTATCAAGTTCAAGTGTTAAAATGGTCACAATGAAAGTTGAAGTGTCATGAAATGTGGTTTCGATTTTAATAATAGCCACATGTAATAGACCAAGCACATATGCTATAGCATTAATAGCTCATGGCTAGAAGTATTACAAGAGACACTATTAGTTTTTATGTCCAAGATGTTATTCTACTAGAATTTGTTGAGCGCGATTTCTTTCTAATTTTATTTTTCATTTTGGATGTGTAGGAAAATGCAGGTGATCCAAGTTGAATGGTGGATGTATATAGAGATGGTAATGGGGCCGGGGGGGGGGGGGTGGAGCTTCACATGAAAAATTTTTAAGAAAGTGTCAAACAAAGCATCTTAACTAAAAAGGGATTCTCACTTGGCTCACTACCAATTAAGTAGTTGGGGCTGCCACTTACTTCAAGATAATGTAATAAAATGGATTGCCAGAAAATGGTAGATAAAATTACTAGCAGAATTGGAGTGGCCTACTCTAAACGCCTATCCTATGCTGGGAGATTACAGAATATAATGGCTGGGGGGGTGGGGGGGGGGGGGGTTGAGCTTAACCCGTAAAATTTTTAACCCGACCCCCTCCGCACCACATACCAATTTTTTCATTTTTAACCCGCCCCACTCCACCCCGCATAGATCTGCCCTGGATATTTTTTTAAAAAAATATTATTCTTTTAAAAAATATTATTCTTTTTTAATTAGGTTTGATACTAAAAATAAAACTCATAAAAATAAATTGATTTTCTCATTAAGTTGTATTAATTAAAAGCTAAAATTTTATTTTTTAGAGGTCAATTAGGAAGTATGTAAGAAATTGTATTATTTTTTATTGAACAATCTTCATTTACTATCTTGAATATTTTAATAAATGAAAAGAGTTTTTGAGCAATTATGATATTTGAATACATTTGATTTAGTGGAATTCATTGCTAGTGCATATATTGAAATATTGTTTTATAAGTATGTATAATACACGACATGTTTTTTTAAAGTTTATTACAAATCTATACATTTGAACTATTTATTAGTAGCATAATAATGTATAATGTAATCAGTGAATGTACACAACAAAATTGTAATTTTTCAATTAGAAATTGTGGTGTGTAAATATTTTATAGAATATTGCCACACTTCAAACGTGTGGCGACAAAGACTAGTTGCTTTTGGAGTGACTTACTGGGTTGTTTAATGTTATTCTTAAGCATTTGGGATGGATGATAATTTCATATATTTTTTAAAAGCACAGGCAAAGTAGGTTTGGAGTGACTTATTGAGTTGCTTAATATCATTTTTAAGACAATAAAAATATCTGAAGAATGGAGATGGAGCACAATGATTCGTTGTTGATCGTAACAAATTTTTGTAACGTTGAAAATTAACTGCAATCAAAATAAATAAAAGAAAATGTGATTTTTATTGATGAATTTTGTCAGTACAATTTTTTAGTTCTCTTGATTCTTCTTTCATAAACTTCTCCATGATTCGAGGGCCTCCAGTAGCGTATTTCTCGAATGTAGGATGATGTAGACCTCTTTGAGATGTATTTGATCTTCGAGAATGTCGAAAAGCAGTTCGTCATTTCAAGTCCATCTCCGAGAAGAACACCGTTGACCACTCATTTGAAGAATTGTGTAGTTGATGTTGTCGCTTTTTCCAATCCTTGCAGAATGTTTGTTGAAGTCTTTTCTTAATTGTATTCAGAATCTCCTTCGCAGTCCCCCTTTTGAATGTCATGTTTATCCCCTATTTATAGTTGTAGGGGGTGGACTTGCTTATAATTGGTCAAAAGATGTCATTTTGACACTTGGTGGATTGTGATTGGTTCTTGAATTTGACTGGGACTACCACATCATTTGGACGTGTGGCGTCATCTTGTTGGTCTTGGATGCCTAGTCACCGTGACACGTGACATGAATTTGAGCTTCAACCCAAATGAACATGGATTTAATTCAAATTTCTTATGAATTTAATCCAATAAAATTTGTGTCTACAAATGCCCCTACTCCAAGGCTTGTTAAAGTGTAGGCTTGCCGACACTTGATGGCGAGACTTGAAGTATTATGAATCCGATAATATCACTCTTAAGACATTTTCTTGACTCCATTTCTTGTGATGAGACATTGTATGCTAAGATCATCTGCAACTCCATTCAATATGCTCATAAGGATTTTGTTATTTCAATCCAACCGAGGGATAATATGGATGACTCTCGAGGGAGAGATAAGCAAAATCAATGTGGCAAACTTGTATGAATTTTAACTTTCAAGAAACTTCCACAATAGACTTGAATGCAAATTTGAACACCAACACTCACGAGTGTCACACAAGTCCCCAAAGTTGTAGGAATGCTGAAATCATGAGATTCTTAATCTATTGGAATGAAAACTCAAAGAACTACCATATGTATAAAAATCACGGCCAAATGCTTTATGAATTGATACAAATATTGCTTCGAAGTCAGCTCACAATTCTGTTTTACTTGCTCTTCAACTTCGCACGTCTGTGGTAGAAACTGCATAACTCGAAGTAGGAGTGCCCCGAAATCATGAGTTTCTTGCTCCATTGAGAAGACGACACAAAGAACTACAATATGCGTAAAAATCATGGCCAAAAACTTTATAGATTTGTACAGGAAATTGTTTCAAAGTCAACCCACAATTCTGCCTTGCTAAGTTCTTTTGCGTCTGTGAAAAAAATTCATAACTCGGAATAGGAGCAACAAAATCACAAGATTCTTGTTTCATTGAAAAGAGGACTCCAAGAGTTACAATTTTAACAAAAATCACGGCAAAAGGCTTTCTGAATTAGTACATATAATTCCTTGAAGATGAACCAGACGTTTGTTATGCATTCTTTCCAGCTTAGCGCAGTCACATGGAAATATTCAACTGTTTGTAGCGTTGTAAAGTACACTTCCATAACTAAAACATATGAGAAAATTAAATTCAAAATATAATTTTATTCTGCTGATGTCTGAGTCTCGCATTTAGCTATCACGTCTCACAAATCTCTTTCTTTTTTTTCAAGAGGAAGCTCAAAGGGTCTCGATATTAGACCAAAATGACACACTACATGCGGATGTGTTGAAGTTTTGAGCCACAGGCAACAAGTAAAACCTTCATGTGAAAGAAAGAATTGTTGTAGTTGATCATGTCGCGAATCTATTCTTTTCCCGAGAATGATCACACATACTTAATTTTTATGTTTTCTCGAAGCTCATCATATAATTTTTTTTAGGCATAATACATAAACATGACCCTTAACTTGGCTTCAACGGATAACTATGCCCTCCAACTTTGAGTTGTTGCCCAATCTGTGTTTAAAAACAGTACTACTGATTACAACAAACTTTGCAGAAACACAAAGTTACCAAAGTTTAATTAACCAGTGAAGAACAGAAGAACATAAATTTAATTCCCAAAACTAAAATCTGTAAAAACATACCAGAATCTATAAAAGACAGAACATGAAGAAGATCAAGCCCACTGAATGCACAGTGTCCCCCTTAAGGAAATTATTCTACCTCTAGTATCCGAGGTTTGATTTGGAATATGTCCTCCCAGGATAGAATGATCTCAATCACCAGTGTATTGATACAACCTTTCAGAACAGTCATTTTCAACGGCGGGAAATTCAAAATAAAATGGGAAATAATTTAAATAAAATGGGTCGTGCGGATCCGAGTCGGGTCGGAGCGTTTTGGTTAATTAACTAAATAATTGAGACGTTTTGGCCATTTAATTTGATTAATTAAATAAATAATTAAAACAAAAACTTTGTCCAAAAAATAATCTCTCGATCATTTTCCAAAGCCAAAGCCGAGCGACGACGACGACGGCGCGAGGGGGGTCCCTCTTTCCAACCCTTTTAACAACTAATAAGAGTGTTTCTCTATTTAAACACATCTATTTTTCTTTCCACCACCAATGAGGGAGAAATGTATTTTCTTAAAGCATAAGAGAATTTTTTCCAATTCCTCTTTTCATCTTCCCTCTATTTCCCATTAACTCTTGTTATACCCAACATGAGTGTGCACAAGTAGGCACTTAAACTTGTATAAAATTGAACAAGTAGACACACGTGTCCTACATGACATAATACATGTAGGACGCCATATAGGGTGCCATGTAGGATGAATATGTCTATTTATTCAATTTTTTACAAGTTTAAGTGTCTATTTGTGCACAACCAAAGTTAAGGGTCATAGTTCTCAGCTTATGCCAAGTTAAGAGTTATATTTATGTTTTATGCCCTTTTTTTAACATGATTGGAGCCCCTCTTTTACTTCAAGGAAGGCAACTGCTCTCGTAGAAACTTCAATTAACACTTGCAAAAATCAGATGGGCGATCAAGACAAATCAACAAGAAGACTTAGCTTCTACCACTAGTCCATCCAAATTAACCTTTGTTATGGAACCAAAAAAATGTGATTATTACTAGTTGTAGTCTTTTCATTAAAGTAGAAATTTATTAGTAGAGCTACTTCATATGACAGACAGGATGCATGTATGTTTTGGGTTTTGGAGGAGATGGTGGAACAAATAAAGAACAAGTGGAAAAGAAGTGATGGACAACGTAACTCTGATATGGCTATTTTAAAGGCATATCAAAATACTATAAGAAATGAAAAATAAATTATTATTTTTTAGAAAGTTGATATTGTTTGGACAGGGCAATAAGAAAATAGTGTCAAATAAAATAAAATATGAAGTGAGCCGAGAGTTTGATCAACTTTCTTATCTTTTTCCTTTGTGGCAGACAAGTTACGCCCCATTCTTGACTTTTTGGAATAATACTATGTATCATTTTTGGTCTTAATTATTCCTCTACACTCTCTGTTTATTTCCAGAATTTTGAGCTGTCAAGCAGAGGATATATAGTTTCATCAACTAAAAAGGTTAGTCAAACTCATCTAATAGTTTGTATAATATTTGCTACTCTCATCTCTATTGAAGTACAATTATGGAAAAGAAAAAGTGATGTAAGGAAAATGAAAGAACTTTGGTAGGTTAGTTGGATCTCACAAAGAGAAACAAAATGCAGGAGAAAGAGAGAGGGCTAAATACTTACTCACACATGGGTGTGCAAAAATTGAATCGACCGATAAATCAAACCGATAAAAATGTTATTGGGTGATTGGGTTAACGGGTTTTTAATAATTTTATAAAATTTTTTTATTGAGTTATCGGTTTGGTATTGGTTTTTAATATTGAGTTACTGGGTAAACCGATAACCCATTAAGACTAGTAATTTACTACTTTTACTTGTACATAAATATTATTTATTAATCTCAATACCTTCGTAGTTACTTTTTTTGTCCTTTAGCATTCAATTCACACTTCACACTTCACAATGACTTTGAGTTCACAATTTCACATTATAAAAAACGTTAAAATCTAAAGTAAGAATCTCATTCCTCTTAATTTCTCTTTGTGTTACGCTTGTATAGTTCTTTTCATGTTTGTTATTATTGTTTCTATTTTATGAGCATTTGTAAAGTTACATTACTGTGTTTTCACATCAAATTTATTAGAAAAGTCATATATTTGTTTTACAAGTATTTTCTTATTGGTTAAACCGAAAACCGAACCGTTAAGGACCAAAACTGATAAACCGATAAAAAATATCTTATTGGTTTGGTTATTGGTTTAACATATTTAAAAACCAAAAACCGATAAACCGAACTGATAATACACAAAATCGAATCGAAC